ACAAAACTGATTCCATATTCAATTCTATAGAAGCGTTTAAAAGCTACTAATATCTAATTGTTAGATTGCTACCTCGATCCTACACAAAACTGAGTCTATATTCAATTCTATGGAAGTGTTTAAAAGCTGCTAATATCTTATTGTTAGATTGCTACCTCGATCCTACACAAAACTGATTCCATATTCAATTGTATAGAAGTGTTTAAAAGCTGCTAATATCTCATTGTTAGATTGCTACCTCGATCCTACACAAAACTGATTCCATATTCAATTCTATAGAAGCGTTTAAAAGCTACTAATATCTAATTGTTAGATTGCTACCTCGATCCTACACAAAACTGATTCCATATTCAATTCTATAGAAGTGTTTAAAAGCTACTAATATCTCGTTGTTAGATTGCTACCTCGATCCTACACAAAACTGATTCCATATTCAATTCTATAGAAGTGTTTAAAAGCTACTAATATCTCGTTGTTAGATTGCTACCTCGATCCTACAAAAACTGATTCTATTCTGAATATAGAATATTTTCTATTTGAAAATACAGTAAGAATTGATTTTTTTCATTTAGGTTTTATATAAATTTCGAATGTTTAACTAAAGAATCCATTGAAAAATATTACCTTAAAATGGAAATGATATAGCCTACATTTGTAATGTTACACCGAAAATGTATTCTTCACGCAGCTTACACTCTCTTTAAATTTGCTGTAATATATTTTTATGCTGAAACGGAGTTAATCCCAACACAACGACAGTGTTGAAATAAACCTTCGTCAGTCACATGTGTGCAAATAAGTGACGTGTTGCGCCTAACCTGGCGTGATCTCGTTATGTGTAACACAGCTGGCAGCTGGCTCTCAACATTATAGGTTTTTCTCTATGGAATTTATCATAAACATCGTGGACATTTGACTCAATTAGTTTATATTATTGATGTCAATACTGAGGTAGGTAATTTACTATCATTAATGATTTTACATTAGATTTATATCTATATTGCAGTAGAAAGTTTTACGAATTGATTCTTAAGATCAGTAATCTAAGTAGATAAATTCTGGTAGAAGAAACATGTTAACACACACGTATTTTTCTAATGTAGTTAAAGTCTTTGTGTATAAGACAAAACTTATTTTTCAGCTTTTAACGAATATAAGTTTAATGTGACAAGTTTAGTAAGTCAAATAAATAATAATATACAGGGTGACAAAAAAGTCTGGAAACGGTTTAATATCTTTTTAGCTAAATCCATTAGCAAATTCAAACCTTTCACATCAACTTACATGTATAAAAACTACTTTTTCCAAGAATTATCATTTTTTTACCTCTACCAGGGGACGGCCCATGAGGAGTAGGTACATAATCTTTAATGTAAGCATAGGTTGATATGCACATCATTTTAAAGGTCTGGTCAAGTGGAGTTCATTGCCGGAAACCGCGTTAAAAAAGGTTCATCCGTTACAAAATGGCGGCTGTCCAAAGTTCTTGTTGAATATACCTGCACAGGCCTTACTATTAGTAAATACTCGTATTAAACATAAGCTTGAGAGCTGAAACTGTATTTTAAAGTCAACTAGATCATAGACTAATATTATTCAATCTTCAAAACAAATTTAAACGGGTTTCAGATTTCCCGGCTAATGTTGAATATGAGTATTTACCAATACTAAGGTCGCTGCAGGTATATTCCGCAAGAACTTTGGACAGCCGACATTTTGTAACGGATGAACCTTTTTTGATGCGGTTTCCGGCAATGAACTCCACTTGACCAGACCTTTAAAATGATGTACATATCAACCTATGCTTACATTAAAGATTATGTACCTACTCCTCATAGTTCGTCCCCTGGTAGAGGTAAAAAAATGATAATTCTTGGAAAAAGTAGTTTTTATACATATAAGTTTATGTGAAAAATTTGGATTTTCTAACGAATTTTGTTAAAAAGATATCAAGCCGTTTCCAGACTTTTTTGTCACCCTGTATATGGTTTCTTAACGAAGCAAGACTTGAATTTATTTCGTCAATCAATACGATTACTTTTGAAATAATCATAGGCACCTCAAATTAAATAATGATAAATTTTGTACTGAAAAGCTGGTGTACCATAGAAACATAAGTACAGTAAATGTTTATTTAAATCTATAACGTAAGCTACATTAGTTTAAATGCTCAGTTCATAATTTCATATTGAGCATAGCTAAGTCAATATTTTATTTTAAAGTACAGTACATACATTTAGGCTCTCTATTTTCACTGGGGTGGTGTATTTAGTGTGTTGTTAGGAGAATAAAAGATCATATGTTTACAATAATTATTGTTCAATATTATAGAGTACAATGAAACATACGATACAAATTATAGCTCTATTAATAAAAAAAACTGTAAATGTTTTTATATGTGAAAATATAAAATTCTGTATGCGTTGTTGTAAAAATGTTTTAATTAAATTTAATGCAAATGTTCAAGTTAGTTGTAGCAATTGTTAGTTTTGTAAGTCAATACCGGTACGCCAAATCCTAAGTTATAAACCTAGCATTTGTTAAAACCCTAGAAATTGTCATTTACATTTTTCATCATACCTGTTGAACAAGAATTGCCTGTCGCAAAAGAATATAAATTATTCAACCAAGGAACCGTTACGAGATCATTCGTTTATACTACCACCTTGCAGCAAACGATAAGATGAAATAGCTATTGAATGAGTTCCCTGAAGCACTCGTTTCATAAATATGAAGAGACATCTTGACATCGAATTTTCCCATTTTAAATATGTTACTATAAAATATTCATTTTTACTATTTACAGATGTATTCTTGCTATATTTTACTAACTACGAGTATTATTTTAATCACTTTGAAATGAAAGACTTTGAAATTCTTTTTATTTATATAGCACTGGCTTGAGATTTTCCTACAAACAAATATTTTAATAGTATAAGTTTAGAGATACTGTTTCTAAAATGCACAATGTTTAAATAAAAAAATATAATATTAAGTTATATGACACTAGTTAATACGATACAAGATTCCAATGTGGAGATGTACATTGTACAATGCGTTGTACAGTATTTTTAATTCATGTAGTTTGTGTATGCTTAATTCAATGCACATAACAAAACAAAACAACACTAAGCGAGAATAATGAATTAGGGTGTTACATGAGACGCCCATGAAAACTTTTGTTTAATTAAATCAACATTGAACTTTACTAAGGTTATAGAAATTCAAGCTAAATCTGAAACCATATAATTTAAGATAGTAAGCCTATAACGTTCCAGTTATTCCGTTAAACATGAAGAGTTTCCGTCCCATCTTTTCATTTAAAAACTATTTAAAATCAAACAATTCTACACATTTTTCATTTTGTATTTTGGATTAAAATTATTGACCTTTGAATTCTGAAGTACATTCAACCTCTTAAGACAAGATGTAACCGATTTCCTGTCCAATAAGAACTTGGTTAAATGAGTCTGTTTCCTCACTCAGTATTACTATGTTAACTATGTTAAAGTGCTTTGCAATAGGTTGGGTTTTCAGTTTGTCTTACCTAACAAATTGGTATATTCGAAAGGAAAGAGTAATCTAATTCCAATGAATAATTCAAATACCCCCGCCGCAGCAAACCTGCAGACTAAGCGAATTTCCATTTGACTGATTGGATTTACACTGAAATGTCTACTTAAAAATATAACATTTATTCCCGATTTAAATATAATTAGTTTAACAAGTACTTAGGTTTGCTGCATCAGGGAGGGTAAAACTGTTTTTTTTGTAAAATGTTAATAGTTAGTAAGAAATAAAAAATTTTTCCAAATTTGATCAAAATATTTTTATAAACAAGCAAACTACAACAGTTTACTTATCCTCCATAAGAATAACATGGGAATTTTAAATTTTCGATTTTTTTGAATTTTCTCCGTAACCATTAGGCGCATAATAATGCTTCAATATACTAAATTATTTGTGTTTTTAAGCTCTACAAAATGGTTTGGAAATAAATTGCTTAATTTTATGTTTTTTGGGTAAAAAATGGGAAAAACCTATTTTTACCCAATAAACCCCCCCTAAGTACTTAGGTTTGCTGCATCAGGGAGGGTAAAACTGTTTTTTTTTTTTTGTAAAATGTTAATAGTTAGTAAGAAATAAAAACATTTTCCAAATTTGATCAAAATATTTTCATAAACAAGCAAACTACAACAGTTTACTTATCCTCCATAAGAATAACATGGGAATTTTCAATTTTCAATTTTTTGGAATTTTCTCCGTAACCATTAGGCGCATAATAACGCTTCAATATACTAAATTATTTGTTTTTTTAAGCTCTACAAAATGGTTTGGAAATAAATTGCTTAATTTTATGTTTTTTGGGTAAAAAATGGGAAAAACCTATTTTTACCCCATAAAACCCCCCGTAAACACCCGTTCCCATGGTCCGATCATGCTGGATCGCGAACTCGTTCGAATAAACGTAGGTTTACACGTTTGTGCCAAATTTCATCAAAATCGGATCATTTTTGCTCGAGTTATCGTGCTGACGGACACATATATATGTATATATATATAAATATATAAATATATAAATATATATACGGTATATATATATATGAATTTGAACGGATGGTGTTTTTGGCCTCTAGGGACCTTAAAACGAAAAAAAAATCGGTCCCGCGTCCAGGTCTTACCATGAGTACTACGGTAATAGCTTATTCCCTATATGGGAAATTCGCTAAAACCAGCTACAACTTAAAAATGGGAATGTAAGGCCTAGTTCTATTTATAGTCAAATCTAGAACTTTACGATATGTAAACCAACAATCCGTTGGGGGTTTTTCCTAGATTGTTCACTACAAATAAGCATAACGACTCCTACCACCTATGTGGGGCTTACAATATACTGTAACAAACTAACGACGAGTGCCAGAGTGAACCGGTCAACAAAGCGCTGCGATTATCCAATTCAGACGTGAGTGGCTCAACAGATGTAGTCCGCCTCTCAAGCCCCAGTCATGACACAGTCTCACATGTCGCTGCTGGGAGCTGACGACCAGCAGAGCCTACTGGAGTCGGACCACCATCACCATCGCGACCAGCTGAACACATTCAAACTATTTGTAAGTGACGTGTTGAAGAACCATTTGAAAGTGTTCATAGCTGTTTGTGATGTTTTCTGCGTCATCACCTTCACATCGGTGATCCTCATAGTGAACGCTTGGAACTGCGTGGACTCGGCAGTTGGCGAGGACCAGGAACTCAGCTGGTGTGAGCCATACAAGCCTGTGGACAAGGTGACGTACCTCTAACGCAAGCACACACTAGTGTAGTAATCATGAAACAAATTAAAAGTAAATTTTAAATAGAACAAAAATACCAGGAATGATACATAGAGGAATGCTAAAACATTGTTGGTTATAAGTATCCACTCTGAAATTTGAATTTCAGATTAGCTGCAGTCATACAACCATACAAATACACTCCAATTACACAACACAACTCAGTTGTAAGGCATGAACTACACGCTTTATAAGCTTGTATGTTGAGTGTATCGGCAAATGTCAAACCTTGACACATACAGGGTGTACTAGTTTTATTGAGACCCAGATGTAAAGAGATTGAATTCAGAAATTAAGATCGTAAACGGTATTAAAACTAGATCAACTGTCTCAAATGGAATCAAACCGTGTTAATAGTAGATTTTTTTAAAGTGTGGATGTATTTTCTGGACTGCTGGAGTATCTAACAGTAAAATTACAACTGTTTACAAGATAGAAAGTAAATCTCAAGACATTTCATAGGTGATTGTGGATCTAAGTTTTGACCTGCTAGTACACTGTGACTCCCCCAAGTCTTGTGTTGCTTGGGCAGAGCTCCAAGGCGGCCAGTACAACTTCATCCTGGGTGACGAGGAGTTGGTGTACGTGGGACGAGGGTACCAATGTGAGGGCGGTGGAGTGTTGAAACTACAGATGCTCGTCACAAGGTTCACCTGGGACCCCAGCCAGCCTGCTTACAGAATACCTCACGAGGTCGCACTGAGGTAAATGTATGTTAGAAGAACTAGTGTACCAAACCTTACACGTACATACACATACATGTTGTAGTAGGTCGAGGGTACCAATGTGAGGGCGGTGGAGTGTTGAAACTACAGATGCTCGTCACAAGGTTCACCTGGGACCCCAGCCAGCCTGCTTACAGAATACCTCACGAGGTCGCACTGAGGTAAATGTATGTTAGAAGAACTAGTGTACCAAACCTTACACGTACATACACATACATGTTGTAGTAGGTCGATGGTATCAATGTGAGAGCGGTGGAGTTTTGAAGCTACAGAATGTGCTCATCACAAGGTTCACCTGGGACCCCAGCCAGCCTGCTTACAGAATACCTCAAACGGTTGCCCTGAGGTATAATTTAAATGTTAGAGAATCTATATACGTAGGACGAGTAAACTAATGTTTCAGGGTATAGTTAGGACGAGTGTACCAGCACAGAGGATGACAATTGAGGCTGTAGCTGCTAAACGGGCCTATCTCGAAAACTGATGTTTTGAGATAAGGAAGGAAGAAGGAAGTAAAATAGCGAATCTCATTTATAAGGGCCCATCTCGACTTAGGCCCCTTTAACAGCTACAGCCTCTATTGTTGGAAATATTGTCCCAGTGTTTTGTCAACATACATTTTACTGAAATCGTACTACAAGTGTATGTGCATGCCTTCGTTTGCATTCTTTTTACTGATGCCTAAAGTTGCTGCATTAGTTTTTATTTCTGTGTTAATCTGCGTAACTTTAACTGGCTACTGAGGGAAATATCCCTGAAATGATCTCCATCAGAAGTATGTGCATAGTTAGATTATAAATTTGCCATAATTGACTATAAGTACGTTACTACAATAACTTTTCTCTTGCGTGTGACTAGGTACGGAGAAGTGATATCGGAGGGGCTGCGCTGTGGTAAGCTATCTCCTCACTTTACGGTTAGTGTTTCCTGCGGTGTGTACGGTCCCTGGTGCAACGCTACTTACATGAGGGACCAGTTCCCCTGGACCGACGTGACCTCCCTCGCTCTGCAGCGGTCCCGCCCCCTCGCCCCCTGGTACGAGCCTCCTCTGCAGCATGATCACCCCTATCTGTCCTTCGACGTCGACAGAGTCTACGACAGACACCACACTCTCACTGTCTGCAACCGTACAGTAATGGGCATGTAAATCCATGCTGCAATTGTACTTTACTAACATGTCGTTATGCTGTTTCTCACAACTAATTATTAACTCATTATATACACGGAGTAATGGAAAAGCAAACTTCCAATATTTCTTTAGACTTCAAAATGTATCATAGTTTTTAGAAGATTTTTATAGTCTTTTTGAAACTATTGATTCTTTTTGATTATCATTCCTAACTTTATTTCACTATAGTGGAATCGCCTTTAATAACTGACGCTATTAAAACACATCTGTTGATTTATATAGCCTTTTGCTGCAAACATGTACTGTACAGTACCTAAACCGAGAAATGTCGAGATGCTATATTTGAATGAAGTTCAGTATTCAGTAAAGTCTAATATGAAAAACTGCTTCTTATATATGAAATTTTGTATAAGCTAGTAGAAATATCCTTAAATAAAATGTTTTTGCATTTACCAATTATAGTGGTTTTGGTATAATTCAGAGTAGTGATCAATAAAGTCTAATTCAAATTACAAATTTATCCCATATTTTCCTTCAATTCTGAAAGGAAAATTAAAGTTGTGTTAGAAGTTGTCAGTTTGCTAATACAGGAATTTGTAACAGCTGCTAAATGTTTTATACTCTTTGCAGTTGTTGTTTTCATTGCTAAGATTGAGTTATTATTTAAATGTTCATGATTCATAATGTACATTATTCATGTACATGATTCATTCACAAAATGCATGTATTGTTGTGATTTTTTTATTGAATATTTAAAGCTTGTGTTAAAGAGTAATAGCTCTCTGATTAATCGTTTTAATGGTTTTTACTAACTTATATAGAATTTAAATCTAAATGTTAAGTGAATACAAACTGCGTGGCTACATTAAAGGGTGCATTATGCAGATCATCTTGACATTATGTGACAAACATAAAATTACACATTGTAGACAATGTTACATGTTACAGACCTAAATTCAGTTTTAATTTTTATTGTTACAGACCTAAATTCAGTTATCTTAAAATATTCTTGCCTCGGTTTGTTCAGGTCGGAGGAGGGGGGGGGGAGTAAGAGAAAACAAAGGTTAGGTTGGATACAATGTATAATATGCAGTTTGAGATTATAAACCCTACAAAATAATTAAATAAAATACCCTTGGAACAATTTATAAAGTTATATCCGACTACCACAGAGAAAACTTAATTAAAATTTATAATATACAAAAGTTCTCCGGCTGTACTGTAGACACCTATTTACACAATTTACTCCACAAAATCCAATAGTCTGTGGCACTATGCAGGGACGCTGAAGTGAGATCGCACAGCAATAAATAAAAGTATAAGTCTGTCTACCTTGGTTTGATGATCTAGGAAGTCCTTGGGTTAACTCGTTACCAGTTTGGGTTATAATTATTGAATCCAACTCGTATTAGTGCATTTCAGCTTCATTTACATGAATAGAGCGAGACATGAGATCCTTTGTAGGCTATACTGTACATAAGAAGCCCTAAGGCTTCTGCAATATTTTTTTGTGTTATTCAGTAAGTTAAGATGATCCTGTATGAAAATGATTGTAACAAAACTCAGATTTTGTCAATTATAATATTAATAGACAAATTTAACTGCACTGTACTCCGAACCAAAATATGTGAACTAATACTGACTAAATAACAAATCTTCAATAATTATTGGACATAAATCCCCACAACGGGCAAGTAAAACTATGATCCAACAAGTAAATATCCTGCTACTCAGAATTCAGAGTTAGAACTAGACACAGAATGGAAGAGTACAGAAGGGGTTTGGGGGGAGGGGAAAGGGGAGAGGTATTGTAGCTGATCGGACATGAAAGAGATAAGGAATGCACCTGAAATCCAAGGTCTCTTTGTCTATCTTTCCTGTTTCCAACATATTTTCCTAAATTCAAGCTACCTTAAATTTCTCTACAAATAATACGTAGCTAAATAAATATATTTTTGAATTTTTCTTGTTTATATATTTTTTTTTTGTATTTTCTTCCAATAAAATAAAATGTCACAATCCCACCCTTCCTTAAAAGACGAAGGCGCCTCTCTATGGTGATCTTCATGTCTAGGGTTCGTCAGGTAGTCTATCGGTGCTAACGTAGGGTCTCAAGTCTTCGATGTGCCATCTTCCAATATTCTGCCCATTTGTGTCGGCTAGTTCATAAATCAGAGGTGATATTTTCCGGTTGATTACATAAGGTCCGCAATATCTAGGAGCAAATTTTTCAATGATCTCCTTTTCTTTGTTTGACTGGGTAAATTTTCTTTTCCAAACGACGTCTCCTTCCTGAAACTCCATGTGTCGTCTCCTCAGGTTGTATTGGCGGGCACTCCTCACATAAGCCATGGCTAATCTCTGTTTAACTTTTTCATGGACGTTCTTTAGTTCTCTAAGACGGCTCTGATCTTGAAGTGTCTCTGGGTTTGCAGATTCTAAATTTTCTTCTAGTGGCTGCGTTATTTCTCGTCCAAAAACTAGACTGGCTGGAGTGTATCCTGTGACTTCACTTTTAGCAGTGCGAAGGGCAAATGCAAGTTTTGGAAGACAATCATCCCATTTCTTGTGAAAATCTCCAACATAAGAACGGATCATTGTGATTAATGTCCTGTTGTACCTTTCAGTCGGGTTCGCTTGAGCGTGTCTCCTAGCATTGAAGAACATTTTAACCTGGTAAGAAGCACAAAGGTTTCTTGTTGATGCTCCTATAAACTCAGGTCCGTTGTCTGAAATAAGAGCACGGGGTATTCCAAATATTAGAAAAACTCCTTCTTCCAGATGCTGGGCGATTAATTTTGATGATAGAGATCTTAATGGAAAGAGTAGTGTAAACTTAGAAAACAGATCGGTCACAACTAAAATGTACTTGAATCCTCTTGACGTACGTGGAAGTGGTCCGATGACATCTGCAGATAGGATTTCAAATGGTGATGAGGGGAGACGGGGGTTCCCCATAAGTCCTACAGGTTTCTTCTGTTCAGGTTTTGAGACTTGACATGTAAGGCAGTTCCTCACATACGATGCCACGTCAGCTTTCATCTTAGGCCAATAATACAATTGTGATGCACGATTATATGTTTTATAGAACCCAAGGTGGCCTGCACATTGGTCATCATGACATTCTCGATACACTTCATGTCGAGAATCCTTTGGAACAACAAGTTTCCACTCAAAGCGGCGATCAATTTCTGGTTGTCTTGGCCTAATGTATTTGTAGAGGTTATTTCCTTTAACCTGCCATGAAGGGTACTTTTCGGGATAATTTAAAACACTATCAAACATTTTCTGGAACCAACGATCTTTAGTATCTTGCTTTACTTCAATCAAAGCTAAGTCAATTTCTTCTTCTTGAGCTTCCTTTGTTGCAGTTCTTGAGAGTAGGTCAGCTACTGCGTTATCTTTGCCTTTCCGGTGTTTTAATTCAAAATCAAAAGCTTGCAGACGAACTGCCCACCGGGCTAAACGTCCTCTGGGATCCTTAAGGTTTGCTAACCAGATAAGACTATGATGGTCGGTATATACAGTAAACTTGGCTCCTTCCAAATATGATCTATAATGTTCAATTCCCCATATAACTGCCAAACACTCTTTTTCAGTTGTGCTGTAGTGTTTTTCAGCTCGGTTTAGAGTTCGGCTTGCATAAGAGACTACGTGTTCTCCATCCTCATAGTGTTGTGTAAGAACACATCCAATTCCTACGTCTGACGCATCACAATGTAGCTCGAATGGTAAATCAAATTTAGGGCAAAACAAAATTGGTGCATCTATAAGAAGTTGTTTGATTATGCGAAAGGATTGTTCAGCCTCGTCATTCCATTTGAACACAACATTCTTGTGCAATAATTTGGTCAATGGTGCAATTTTTGTTGCATAATCTGGTATGAATCTTCGGTACCAGGATGTGGCTCCAATAAAACTTCTAACTTCCTTCTTTGTAGTCGGTGAAGAGATGTCAGCTAAGGCAGAAACTTTATCTGGGTCAACATGAAGTCCTCTGTAGTCAACTTTGTATCCTAAATATTTCAACTCCGATCTACACAATTGAGTCTTTTCTTTGTTTATGGTTAGACCTGCAGCTATTAAACGTTCAAAAACTTCACAAAGAACATTGATATGTTCAGAAAAGGTTGAGGTGACAATGATTATATCATCGAGAAAAACAAAAACTGAGGGCTCTAATTTCGGTCCTAATATTTGGTCAATTAATCGCTGCCAAGTAGCAGGTGCGTTGGTAAGACCGAAGGGCATTCGCTTAAATTGATAAAGACCCCTGTTGGGTATGGTGAATGCAGTCTTCTCCCGGGAATCTTCTGCGATTTTGATCTGCCAATAAGCAGATTTTATGTCAATGCTGCTTAAATATCTCGCATCTCTCAGTTGGTTCAGTATCTGGTTGACATAAGGAATAGGATATGCATCTTTCCTTGTGAGAGAGTTCAGGCGACGATAATCAACACAAAAGCGGTAAGTGTTGTCAGGTTTTCTTACCAAGACCACCGGTGATGACCATGCACTAGTACTAGGCTCTATGATGTCATGTTTTAGCATTTCGTCCAATTCTTGGTCAATATGCCGTTGAACATTTGGCGAAACTGGATAATATCGCTGCTTCACTGGTGCAGCGTCACTGGTATCAATACGATGCTCCACGAGTGATGTACAGCCATACTTAGTTGTCATTTGAGGGTAATACTTGTTTGTGAGCTCCAATAGTTGACCATTTTGTTCTTCTGTTAAGTGTTCTCTTGAACATATTGCTCGGTGATGACTTTGTAGTCTATTTGTTTCACAGCTAGCCACAGCACAATCCCTAAATTCCCTTATATGAACACTGTCGGAAAAATACCATCTACCCCTAGATAGATCGAGCATAATACCAAAAAGTTTTTGAAAATCTGCACCAAGAATTAATGATACAGTAGTGTGGGGAAGATATAAAACTTCCATGATAGCGGTCCTTCCATCTACTTCTATCGGAACATCCATTGCTCCTCCAATAGTGCATGTTGATCCATCAGCAGTAGTAGCACGAGTAACACTAGAACATCTGACCCTATGTCCCAATATTTCTAACATTCTTCGAGTTTTATCTCCTATCAAAGTCCTATTAGCTCCTGAATCCAATAAACCCATTATATTTGAACCACCAATATTCACATGAAGATATGGCCTGACATCTCCTTCTTTGAAGGTTAATAAGGAGGTAATATTTACAGAACTATTGCCTAACATTCTATCCGGACTTAATCGATCTTGGTTTTGACTTTTGCGGAACGGTTGCCGGACACATGACGTTCCGCATGAGAGTTTTCCGACTCAGACGGGGTTGTTTTTGGTTGGCAGGAAGGGCATTTTGATTTTATAGTGTTTTCTTTGCCACAACCATAGCAAAATATTGTCTTTGGCTTAAAGCAATCAGCAAAAACATGTCCTGGTTTTCGACAATTCCAGCAGGTGTATGCAGGTTTTGACCGACTTGATTGATGCTTGGTTTTGTTCTGAGAGGCGTTGGATGACTCCACAGTTGATATTTTTATATTATCTTTCCTCACTCTAGGCTTATATGCAAGGTCAGGTTCGAGAAGACTTCGTTGTGGTTTCATGTCATAGCGTTGAGCTCTAAGTCGACCTTTCTCAAGACTACGTAGAACAATCTCTAGCTCATCAATATTTTTAACATTTTGCAAACAAAGTGCAGACTGATATTCTGGAAGTACGTTTTCTTCAATAATATCCAACATGTCTCCCTCAGATTTTGGCCTAGTCAAGCGACCAAACAAGCTACGCATCTTGGCAATGTAGACTGTCACAGTTTCTTCGGATCCTTGTTTTCTATTTTCAATTTCTCGCATTAGTCTTCTGTCATAGTCAGGATCTTGAAATGCATATAATAATTTTGTTTCAAGCCCTTGCCAGTCCTCAATTCTTCCTCTACAAGACCTATAGACTGCTAAGGCAGAACCAGTAAAAAGTTCGCCGGCAGCATTGAATAGTTCTCTGAAA